GTACACAACAGTGATGATATGACCAGTACATTTATGATATGACCAGTACACAACAGTGATGATATGACCAGTACACAACAGTGATGATATGACCAGTACACAACATTAATGATATGACCAGTACATTAATGATATGACCAGTACAGTGATGATATGACCACAGTGATGATATGACCAGTGATATGACCAGTACAACCATTACAGTGATGATATGACCAGTACAGTGATGATATGACCAGTACAGTGATAATATGACCAGTACAGTGATGATTTGACCAGTACAGTGATGATATGACCAGTACAGTGATGATATGACCAGTACACAACAGTGATGATATGACCAGTACAGTGATAATATGACCAGCACCACTACAGTGATGATATGACCAGTACAGTGATGATATGACCAGTACATAACAGTGATGATATGACCAGTACACAACAGTGATATGACCGGTACAGATATGACCAGTACATTTATGATATGACCAGTACACAACAGTGATGATATGACCAGTACACAACAGTGATGATATGACCAGTACACAACATTAATGATATGACCAGTACAGTGATGATATGACCTGTACAGTGATGATATGACCAGTACAGTGATGATATGACCAGTACACAACAGTGATGATATGACCAGTACAGTGATAATATGACCAGTACAGTGATGATATGACCAGTACACAACAGTGATGATATGACCAGTACAGTGATGAGATGACCAGTATACAAAATCAAACATATGTCTAGTTCACAAGTGACGGCATGACTAAAATATACAACTCCTGATGAGACCTGTACACATGCAATTATAAATTCTCTACTAACGTCCGACATAACACAAGGACGTCAACAGCAGATATCAACACATGTACACTGAGAGAGATGCTATCCTTACCACAGATAATTATCAGTCATATGAGGCAGTAAATCATGAATTAGTACGCTCAAATCAAGGTTAATTACGCGTAATCATCTGATCAAATACCAGGGCATCCTGGGTTGCTGTCCAGCAAGATGAGGAGGCAAACTCATACATTAACAACCTTCGCTTCAAGTTGTGATCTGAATCATTCTCCGGAAGGAGCCATTCAGCCATTCAGTTGTCAAGTGAACTGTAAGTGTGTCAACATCCTGGCCCCGAACTGTCGTCAATAAACATATATCGTCATTGCAGTTCATCAACTGTACCTTAGGCTTTGACTGCCTCATTATTCCACAACCTCACATACAAGGCAGCACCGAAATCCCCTTTATATAAAGATGTGATTTTGCAAAATGGTATAAGATACATGAATATTTTTTCACTAAAGAGAATGATACTGCCTTGTAGAGATACCTCCGAGGTCAAGGTCGTTGATTCATTATGACTGATCACGCACGCGTATGTACAAACCTCATCCGCGGCCATCTTGAATGTACTGAAAATATTAGGTGGTGTACGATATGGAACAAATTAGAGCTGAATAAAGCGTATTTTTTTCACACCACGCTTTCGACTGGTTCATGGAAACTGTGCACCGGACATACACTTATCGCTTTTGTGAAAATATATTTTGGTTTTTCCAGGGGCTCTTAGGTTTGATTTCCAAATCCCAGCAGTAGTACTTGCAGTTTTGGCTGCAACGACAAACGATGACCGTGAAAACACATTCTCCAAACACCTACGTTTCAGCTTGACACTTATCACCCAAGATGAGTCCTGATGGTTTCTGGTCTGGATTGATGAGTGAGTGCGTTGAGTTTGAACACGCCGTTTTGAACAGTATTCCAGTGACATCATGGTTTTCAGTGTGGTGTAAGAGGAAGGCCCGAGGTGAGTGAGTGAGTGAGTGAGTATGGTTTTACGCCCCTTTTAGCAATATTCCAGCACAATCACGGTGGGGACACGAGAAATGGGCTCCACACATTGTACTCGGAGTCGAACCCGGGTCATCAGTGTGACTAGCAAACGCTTTAACCTCATGACTACCCTACCGCCCCGCCCCAGGTGAGGCAAGTCTGCATTGTGTCAACCACATCAGCGAGCCCGACTATCCGATCCTGTTGGTCTAACGACAAGCATGGCTTACTGAAGACCAATTCTAACCCGGGTCTTTTAACTTTGACTTAAACCCAAGAGCACGCGTACGGTTGGGACAGACCTGGAAACAGAACCTTATCTTTTGGACAATAAAATATGTTTAAACCGGGATTCGAACAGGCAAACAAAGATTTCTGTCGCACACAGGGGACGTAATTCTGCACAACAAAATGGGATAGACATCGGTGCCCCTTGACTAATACCTAATTGCGAACCCAAAACAAAATGAGCGAGTGAGTGAGTGAGTTTAGTTTTACACCGCTTTTAGCAATATTCCGCAATATCACGGTGGGGGACACCTGAAATGGGCTTCACACATTTTACCCATGTGGGGAATCGAACCCGGGTCTTCAGCGAACGAACGCTTTAACCACTAGGCTACCCCACCGCCCCAAAACAAATTGAAAGGGCTACTACATCTATGTTTTTACCTGCTATTGTTTGGTGTGTGTCCCACAGATCGAAGTCACTTCACCGTTGCCTTAAGTTAAAGGAAGCCATCAAGCCATACCAAAAGGTTTGCAGATCCGAATTAACACCTGACCAAGAAAATTTCACTGTAGAATTAATTGGCTTTTCAGCACAATGTAATACATGTAAACTACCAGGTAAAACTTGAACTATCAGTTCAACCACAAGCTAAAACTAGAAATCTCAGTTCGCCAAATGCAGCATGATAATGTAAGCTTTACTGAGGAATAAAGCAGCGATTTGAACGAGTGCTCGGTGACTACTTTTAATTTGCCAAAATATCTACTCATGGAAATATGTACACATGGGGAACGAATGGTTGTTGTTGCTGTCAGTAGACAGGGCTGATCAGGTATTCAATGACGTTTAGACCGACTGCATTAAGTGCATGCTTGGTCCCATGATAATGCAGATATGCATTATGCTGAAAACTCCGCAACAGATCTATTCAATAGGACGCTCATGAGAAATAAAATATACAATGCAAGGAGTATGTGGCATTTTTTGTTACATTTATACCGGAGCAATTTATTGATTTTATAAATTCGATTTTAGCTATCAATAACACAGAAGTATATGAATCGAATTAGTGATAATTTATTAGATTAATAATTCATCTTTCTGCTCATAAAAGTGATGAAATAGCCCTTCAAATCGTACAACAGTAAATAATCTTCTCAACGACAGGGTCTCTCCTGTTTAATGTACTTATCAGTATGGATATATTAATGTGTTGGTGTTTAACTTGTTAATGATTCACACGTGCGTATAGAAAGAGAATATATTATGTTGATTATGGAATTTTGATGAGATCCATAGCTCCCTTTACTCTTACACCGCAAAGTTTTGAGAAAAATTGAACCGATGATACTGAACAGATATATTTATATATATCACCAAATGAATAGGTTGTATCACAAATTCGATTATAAGATATACAAACATGAACTTGAATTTCTAAAACAAAATCTCAAAACATATTTTAAATCAATAAATAAATTGATTTACTGATAGCTAAAAAATGAAATTGTAATATCAATAATTATTTACATCATAAAATTGAATTTGTAATGTCAGCAATAACTATTTCAGTGAAAATATATTGAAGTTTGTTTCATACGTCTTTTCTCGAAAACTATATTGAAAACTACTATGCAAGAAAATTAAACTAAATGATTCTATGTAAACATGGGTTCAGGTGAATTATGATGAAGAGACATTCCAACCATCTGATGTTCAATATACACAAAACTATTGCACACGCTGATGATGTTGTTAAACATGACATATGGTAGGACAAAATTCAGTTATTTATAGTGCATATCTACTCACAGAGGTGCAGATACTGGATAAACTATAGGGGTTCAAAAGATGATGCGAGCATGAAACTCTAAATTCCTCAGAGGTGACTACCATGTACATTTCTGTTATTGTACGTTAAAAGATACAACAAGGATAAGAACTATAAAATATACATGCTCAATGATTGTTTTCAAACTCAGGATGTTGATCCCTTTACAAGGGATGTATATGCCATACCGATATTAACAGAGGGTTATGACTGACTGACTGAGTTTGGTTTTACACCGCTTTTAGCAATATTCCAGCAATATCACAGCGGGGGACACCAGAAATGGGCTTCACTCATTGTACCCATGTGGGGATTCGAACCCGGGTCTTCGGCGTGACGAGCCAACGCATTAACCACTAGACTACCCCACCGCCCCCAGAGGGTTATGAGAATACCTGTATTGGGCGTCTGTGCAAAATATCCAAAAGATCAAATTCTTTCTGCTGGATATTTCATCCCATTAATTTATTTATCCCCAAATAATCTACATCCTTGTATCCTTAATTGTTTCTGAGAAAAATATTGTCTGAATGGAAACCGGACAGAACAGGCACAAAGGTTTGGGTTCATGGCATGGAATAACATTTCTTAGGTTACTCATAGAACCCTATAAACACATAGTGGGCATATTTACTTTACGATATTCCTGAAATATCAAAGTAGAGAAACACGAAATGAGCTTCATGAGTATAATTAAACACAGACCTTCAGCACAGAGAGTTATGGTGTAGCCAGCTTACCGAAAATTTAAATCTGGAAATATTGAATGGTTTAAAGAATCGTTGCAAAATGAATAATGAAACCCAGCCCACCCAAATGCCACTATATGCAGGCACAGGGGACTGTATTCATATCTAAGAAATTGTGTTAACAAAATAAGTCACAATCTAAGACTTTGAAGACAATGGAAGCATTCATTCTTCGATACCCATGGCTGTTTTTTCCCCCCTTTCATTCAGGAAGGGTTGTCACTGTCATCCAAGTTCAAAAACACATTGCACAAAGTCTAGAATGTCTGTAGATGGCATCAGTGTACAAAGAAAAGAAACCAGATCCTACACAAAGACCAAAAACAAAACCAGATTGACAAATGTTATTGTTTTAATGATATGTACAATGAAATGCATGACAGTGTCACATACAAAGTGTATCATACATATTTACACATGCCTGCATGACGTAACACTTCCGTGTGTACCATATTCCCCACATAACAGTTTCTCATCACCGTGGCAACAGTGGTCACACACTGAGAAATATTAATATAAAACAATCTGGAATCGTCCAAGCAGTAGTGGAGTGGGTGCCTGGACAAGTTCCTCCATGAGCAGCCTGACACAACCTTGACAATCACCCACAAACATAGCACCCTCTCTATGTGCAAAGGTATAAGTGAGTGAGTTTGGTTTTACGCCATTTTTAACAGCAAAGGTATTAAATCCTTCACAAAACACCACAGACCATCAGTGCCACTTTTTTCAAGAATTATTTCCCCAATTGTACATACAATACCCCAACCCCACTCAGTGCTTTTGTGGTGCTTCCTTGATTCCATTTAATTTCTGTTGACTCTTCAAGATTCTACATAAGGATGGTTCCTGTTGCCATAGAGCCCACAACTGCCAAAGTTCTTCACTATACCACTATCAATATTTAACCTGTAATTAACAGTCTTTGAGACTCGGAAAGGATTATTACGAGATATGTCAGTTTAACTCTTCAAGTCACAACCCTGTACCCATATGCACCATATTTAATGTGAGAAGACCGCAGTTGTCTGGACTGCTAGTCCAAGGGAGGTAACTCCCTTTCAACAGGCTCTTGTAATGTACACGTCTGCTCAGTGGCCAAAGAATCTGAAAGAAATCATTCTGCAAATCAGTCACTGGAAGGCTGCAATACATCAAGATAATGATAGACAGTTTACTGGCGAAACAATTAGCCCTTTTGTCAACTAGCCGAACCTTTCAACACCTCAAACCAACCATCTTTGAAACAGTTTTAAAGGAATATCTACAGAAGGCAGCTGAATGAAAGATTGTTTGATTGTTGTTTAACGCCCTACTCAGAAGTATTTCAGCTATATGCCAGTGATCTATCAGTTATCAAGTCTGGACTGGTATGGTCAGTGAGCTCACCTAATAAAGTTCACATGCTAATACTAAAATATACTAAACATGATGCCAAGATTCAAAATAGAACAGACATAAAGGTTTATGGCAGGGTCTGCTGTTACCATATTGTGTTTTTCAAAACATCCTAAGACCAGACCATTTCATTTCTTGTTTTGTTTGTCCTCAGAAAACCTAAAGGCAGGAGGGGACATTTTTTTAAAAAAATCACTAGTCAAAGCAAAAACCCACATGAGTTTCCATCTTAACTCTTTTGGTTTGTTTATATCAACTAAAAATAAGTTGAGTGAGTTTAGGTTTCACACTGATTTCAAGAGCATTTCACTTATATCACATTAACATTAGGATTTCATTTTTTGAGCTGGGAAAACTACTTTTTTCTTTCTATTTCTTGAAAAAATGAAACCGCCGGATCTGTAAAACAAGAAATAAATTTGGTCTGGCCAAAAGAAATAAAAACAGACTCTACTTGGACATTCTTATGAAGGGACACATCAGATATAACCATTCCATGGAACTTACACTATCATGAGGAACATGATGAAGATGTTCCACAAAGCAATGAAGATCCTGAGATGCCGGAGACTGAGCAGGAAGCTCCGAACCTTGTCCCCTGAAACCAGGAAATGTTGCCATGGAAACAAACAGAGGAGAAACATGAGACAATTATCGGCAATGCCAGCCAGACATTGTTTACATTTTTCTTTACAGATTTTTTAAGACAGATATTTACCAAACCTGACCACCCAAACCACTGGGTTGCCTTATATGATCTACATAGGTTGTTAGGGACCCATTCTAGTCAGGAATCTTTGCAGGTTCACAATTTGGTCGCTGTCATCTGCTTTGTTGTTGTTATATTCTATGCTGATACCACAATGTGCCAATGAGTTTTGTTAAACTTTGCAAACTATTTCCCATAAATATATAGGTGGGACTTTTTACATGGCTAACATAACCAAAAGGAATGTTTTTCATGTTCGGTGTTTTTAGTGAGTAGTGATAACTAGGACTGAACAGTGTTACCGGGTTACGTTTTTCAAATGATACGTATTGCAATATTTTTTCTGAGAATCAGTATATTGAGTAAAGAACATATATGAGGTGAGGTGAGGTGAGGTGAAATTGGGTTTAACGTCGTGCTTGAGAATATTTCGCTCATATGACGACGTGCATGCGTGTGTATGTGTATGTGCGGCTGCTTGTACTAGCCCAGACTTAAGCTGGTTTTATAGTGCTAGCCCACTGAGATACCATGCCGCAGTGAAGCATGAATACCCCACTCAGACACATTATACTGACTCCGAGCCGACCAGTCCTTGTTGTACCCATTAATGCCGAGCGCCAGACAGGGACCAACAAGTACCATATTTTAACGTCTTTTGGTATGATGCGGTCGGGGATCGAACCTGTGACCTTCCGCTTTCCGGGCGGACGCTCTTACCACTACACCACGGAGGCAGTCTGAACATATATGAAGTGTTTGTGATTATCTTTATGGTTTAACTTAAAATCTACACATACTTTCATTCACAAGACGACGACATACTGTAATACTATAAGTTGTATAAAAAAGAAAATAGAATCCATGACTATACATCATTATTTTCAGATTTCTGTTATCAGAACCATAACATATATGTATAGGGACTTATAATGTAGAAAATAGGACTGACATACACAAAAAGTGTCACTCACTGTTCCCAATATATCGCAATCTGTATTGCAATACGGCTACCTTAAATCGCAATATATTGCAATACAATTTATTTGCAAATACACAGCCCTAGTGATAACCATGTTCAATGAACTTGCATCAGTGAGGTCAACAATTTATGTATGAAACGTGGGCATTTCAGAAACCTATGGTGGTGAGTCTGAATCCAGGAATCACCCAGATTTGGTTTCTTGGCTTGTCAGCACGACATACGTATGTTTCACCAAAGCAGTACATAAACATCGACTACGTACATCCCTTTGAAAATTCCTCCCACATTAAGTCGAGTAAACCCAACTCACACACTACAAATTGTATTACAGGCACTCTTTTAGCTTGATAACAATGCAAGAATCTATGTCGAAATGTCGCTCTATGCAATAAATAAGAAGTTGTCATTTATAAAGTTGTGGGTTTCATGTTTCACTCACTACAGTTTTCACTCAACAACAGCCAAGGAAGAAAATGTTGACATTCCCAATACTTGTCTTGGTGCAACCTCTGGACATAGTGGACATGACAGGCAGCTCTAATGAGCTTCATAGTTATAGTCTGTTTGGCTCAAAAGCGGACCGATGAATTGCAATCTAACTCGAAAACTAATAAACATAACATACTCAATGAAACGCTGATCATAATTAAAACGACAGACCAACTCTGTGAGGTTTTTGTAGAATTTATATCCTAAAAATAAAAAAGTTGTTTAACAAACTATCATTAAAGTTGTGACACAGTTCACTATTTGTTACGAGGGAGGAGTGCAGAGATTGGGACAGCCAGGTGTGCCAGAAAGGATGGAGACGGCACAGCAAAGGTTAATGAATCAATAACTTGGTGGGCACTTGTGCATGTGCTTCTCTAACACCTGGCTGTCCCTTTCTCTGCACTCCTCCCTCTTAACAAATAGTGAACTGTGTCAAAATTTTAATGATAGTTTGTTAAACAACTTTTTTAATTTTAGGACATAAATTCTGCAAACAAACCACAGAGTTGGTCTGATGTTTTGATTATGATCAGCGTTTCATTGAGTATTATATGTTTATTAGTTTTCGAGTTACATTGCAATTCATCGGTCCGCTTTTGAGACAAACAGACTATAGGTAACCATAAGAGAAGGAAAACTTAGGTAACCATAACGACACATTTCCCAGGTAAGTTAACCCTTGGCCTAAATCAATATTACTTGGACTGCAGTACTTTCTGGATCTAAGCTTCTTGGGAATAGAATCTGGGTTTGTTATAGGGTTGGGTAAAAACTTGGGGCCAGGTAGCATTAGCCAAACCAATCCAGGTACCTGTTACCTAGCTGTGTTTAAAAGTTTATATCCTTACTTATGGGACAGTCATGGCGATTGGAGCTAGAAAAAGTGGAGTTTGGTCATATTTTGATCTAAACACTGAGAAAACTGTGATGGTGGCATTTGAATTACTGAGATGAAACTACTCCAAGATGACTTTCTTATGCCATCGTGATCAAATACTTTCTCATAAATCGGAAATTCCTAGGATTCATGTTACATTTTACACTACAAAAGTTATCACAAAATAATTATTGACTAAATTGGTTACTGTGGTGTTCATTCATGGATGAAAATTGTTCAAATGATGATCACTTCTTTGACTTGAAAGTCTAATTTTTTGCCATGTCATTTTAAGCATGGTCCGTCAAACTATGATACGCTTTGACTGGTTGAGAGAGACTTATATACCAATCATTACAATGTAACACAAAGCCTTATATAAAATGAGAGATTTTATCATGCTCCTTGTTATGACTGAAGAACAAAAATATACTGCAAGTCTGGTTCAGTATTTCAGTTGATGAATTCACATCTGTATCAGACTATCAGAAACTCAGTCACATAACAAAATGAGTTTGTGTAGTTTATTCAGGACCTGGGTAATGAAAGATATTTACCCAACCCAGGTATCGTGTAACCTGCTCCAGCCACAGTTTGTTTTGATACTTCTAGCTTAAAGACATGACTGATGGACTGACTGAGTTTAGTTTTAAGCCGCTTTTAGCAATATTCCAGCAATATCACGGCGAGGGACACCAGAAATGGGCTTCACACATTGTGCCCATGTGGGGAATCGAACCTGGGTCTTCGGCGTGACGAGCCAACGCTTTAACCACTAGGCTACCCCACCGCCCCCTTAAAGACATGCCACCATAAGGAACATGATTAACCCATAAACAGACAACAAGCTACATCGCATCAATGTGAAGACATTGCAATGGTCATTTGCAGATTCTCTGAGATAATTGACCTCATTTGTTAACTCAAGCTCAACATGAAACGTGAACATAACTGTTTGAAATGGCCAACACAAACTCACAAAATGCAATCAAGGGGAGATAAGTGAAGATAACGTGCAATCATACCAACTGTGTGGGGAGCTCATCAATCTTATTCTGAAACTTACAACAAACACAAAGTTAAGTTTGTTTTCTTATTTTTTAATTAAAACTGGTAAGACCATTAACATAACCCACACATACACACGCTGAATGTGCCAAACTGCTAATCAATTGCTGCACAGCATGCCTGAGCAAAATGAAAACAGAAAAAACATATAAGGAGGGCTAGTGTATTTCCTTATAATCCTAAGCCCTTACCAACTGTTGGATCACGTTCAGCACCAAATGCTCCCTCTTCTTGGGTCTTTTTCCTGAAAAATAATTCATTAAGTTGTCAACAGAAAAATGTACAAACAATTTTTCTGTATGTGAAGATTAAATATTTACCATGATTATTTAGTTAACTTGTATTACTATTTACCCATGTCCAAAGAGATTGGTTTTCTATATGATATAATATTTATAAACTGCCATAAGCCGGTATGTATTTAATATTGTTTTCAATATAATAGTGGTGCTGTTAATATGACATGTTTATGGAATAAATAAAAGCTAATGTTTATTCACTTGAATTGCCAAACTTCACAATAGCTCATTCAGTCACAAGAAAAGCTTAAATCTTTTCAACGCCAACATCCCCTAACTTCAGCATGTGAAAGAATTATGATTTCATCCCACAATCTTTAAAACAACTACCTTCCAAGGTGGTAAAACCACAAAGAATGAACAATTCTGAGTGAAATAACACTATGTACATACAACAAAAATAATATTTCTAACTGATTATGTCAATTGTTTCGTCTATCCCTCTGTGTGTACTTACAACTTGAAGTTTAGCACTGCCCCTGCATTCATGAGGAGAGTCCTGGAAAGTGAAATCATTCAAAATGTTTTAATGCAGCGTACCATTGTAATGAATATCTGTGCATCTTTACACTGTGTTCCTCTAAAATCATGGTTACCAGAAAAGATCAAACTCAACTACTGCATAAATGAGTATGACATGATTCATGATGCTTTGGACAGTGACATCACCTTGATAGTAATTTGGACAGCTATGTTACCTTGGTAGAGCTGTGGACAGGTATGTCATTGTCATAGAATAAGGGAACTCGTGATCTTCATAGTGGGGATTTATTACTGATTCGGTAACTCAACAACATGTCACACAAGTTCATCTGGCGCGGTTTCGCGCGGCTTCTGCTAGCCAGTTACATCGGCTCTGAGCATGCCCGATAAGGGAGCATTAATTGAGAATGGAGTAATCCTTGTTTCAATAAGATACTATGACAGTCATCATGGTGGAGCTTTGGACAGGTATGTCATCATGATAGAGCTTTGAACAGGTGTGTCATCATGATAGAGCTTTGAACAGGTATGTCATCATGATAGAGCTTTGGACAGGCATCTCATCATGATAGAGCTTTGAACAGGTATGTCATCATGATAGAGCTTTGAACAGGTATGTCATCATGATAGAGCTTTGAACAGGTATGTCATCATGATAGAGCTTTGAACAGGTATGTCATCATGATAGAGCTTTGAACAGGTATGTCATCATGATAGAGCTTTGAACAGGTATGTCATCATGATAGAGCTTTGAACAGGTATGTCATCATGATAGAGCTTTAAACAGGCATCTAATCATGGTGGAGCTTTGAACAGGTATCTCATCATGATAGAGCTTTGAACAGGTATGTCATCATGATAGAGCTTTGAACAGGTATCTCATCATGATAGAGCTTTAAACAGGTATCTAATCATGATAGAGCTTTGGACAGGTATGTCATCATGATAGAGCTTTGGACAGGTATCTCATCATGATAGAGCTTTGGACAGGTATGTCATCATGATAGAGCTTTGGACAGGTATCTCATCATGATAGAGCTTTGGACAGGTATGTCATCATGATAGAGCTTTGGAAAGGTATCTCATCATGATAGAGCTTTGGACAGGTATGTCATCATGATAGAGCTTTGGACAGGTATCTCATCATGATAGAGCTTTGAACAGGTATGTCATCATGATAGAGCTTCTAACAGGTATGTCATCACGATAGAGCTTTGGGCAGTTATGTCATCATGATAGAACTTTGAACAGGTGTGTCATCATGATAGAGCTTTGAACAGGTATGTCATCATGATAGAGCTTTGAACGGGTATGTCATCACGATAGAGCTTTGGGCAGTTATGTCATCATGATAGAGCTTTGAACAGGTATGTCATCATGATAGAGCTTTGAACAGGTATGTCATCACGATAGAGCTTTGGGCAGTTATGTCATCATGATAGAACTTTGAACAGGCATCTCATCATGATAGAGCTTTGAACAGGCATCTCATCATGGTGGAGCTTTGAACAGGTATGTCATCATGATAGAGCTTTGAACAGGTATGTTATCATGATAGAGCTTTGGGCAGTTATGTCATCATGATAGAGCTTTAAACAGGTATCTAATCATGATAGAGCTTTGAACAGGTATCTCATCATGATAGAGCTTTGGACAGGTATCTCATCATGATAGAGCTTTGGACAGGTATGTCATCATGATAGAGCTTTGGACAGGTATCTCATCATGATAGAGCTTTGGACAGGTATGTCATCATGATAGAGCTTTGGAAAGGTATCTCATCATGATAGAGCTTTGGACAGGTATGTCATCATGATAGAGCTTTGGACAGGTATCTCATCATGATAGAGCTTTGAACAGGTATGTCATCATGATAGAGCTTCTAACAGGTATGTCATCACGATAGAGCTTTGGGCAGTTATGTCATCATGATAGAACTTTGAACAGGTGTGTCATCATGATAGAGCTTTGAACAGGTATGTCATCATGATAGAGCTTTGAACGGGTATGTCATCACGATAGAGCTTTGGGCAGTTATGTCATCATGATAGAGCTTTGAACTGGTATGTCATCATGATAGAGCTTTGAACAGGTATGTCATCACGATAGAGCTTTGGGCAGTTATGTCATCATGATAGAACTTTGAACAGGCATCTCATCATGATAGAGCTTTGAACAGGCATCTCATCATGGTGGAGCTTTGAACAGGTATGTCATCATGATAGAGCTTTGAACAGGTATGTCATCATGATAGAGCTTTGGGCAGTTATGTCATCATGATAGAACTTTGAACAGGCATCTCATCATGATAGAGCTTTGAACAGGTATGTCATCATAATAGAGCTTTGGACTGGTACGCCACCACTTTAGAGCTTTGAACAGGTATGCCATCATGACAGAGCTTTGGACATATATGTCATCATGATAGAGCTTTGAACAGTTATGTCATCATGCAGAGCTTCGAACAGGTATCTCATCATGATAGAACTTTGAACAGGCATCTCATCATGGTGGAGCTTTGAACAGGTATGTCATCATGATAGAGCTTTGAACAGGTATGTCATCACGATAGAGCTTTGGGCAGTTATGTCATCATGATAGAACTTTGAACAGGCATCTCATCATGATAGAGCTTTGAACAGGTATCTCATCATGATAGAGCTTTGGACTGGTACGCCACCACTTTAGAGCTTTGAACAGGTATGCCATCATGACAGAGCTTTGGACATATATGTCATCATGACAGAGCTTTGGACATATATGGCGTGATGATAGTGTTTGCAAAAGGTATGTCACCTTGATAGAGCTTTAGAAAGCTTGTGTGTGTGTGTGTGTGTGTGTGTGTGTGTGTGTGTGTGTGTGTGTGTGTGTGTGTGTGTGTGTTCCATTGATTTCGCACATGACATGGTGGTGGTGGTGGTGGGGTGGGGGGTCAGTTACTTTGTACATAACAGGGGGGTTATTCACATTGTACATGTATGCTTCTCCATAAAAATCATCATCATCACACACACACCCCACCCCTACCCCCAAGCCATAAATTATGAACGGTCGCTAACGTCACTACGATACAGCTTTAATCATCATGAAAGAGCTTTTGACAACCACGTCATCATGACAGTGCTTGGGAACGGTTTGTTGACATAAGAGCGCTTTGGGCAGTTATGTCAACATTATCACAAAATGTCTGCCAAGACCTACACAATTAAAAATTAACTAATTTTACACGATTGTAATTCTTAATGTGACTACCCTAACTTCAAACAGACAAGACAAAGGTAGTGACTTAGGTACACTCCAGTAGATGTAGTAATCCTACATTACCATAAAGTCTACCATAATCACAGGATGGCACATCAAAATTATGCCACTTGGTATATGGAACTAGGGTAGGACCACTGAACATTGTATCATAAAACTTAGTATGTAAATATGCCTCCATGGTTTCAAGGTTAGGGGTTATATTGTTTCCAAAATAATTATTCACTGTGTGTCATAAATTCAATAAGATAGAGTATTGATAGAGGGAGAAAAATACCAGGGTTCATTATCGAACTTTCACAGTTGCGGCAAATGAGAAACAGTGCCAGTACTGGCAGTAGTTTATAGGATGGTCAATAGATTGTTGCAGTCTGTTTAACAGTTTAGCTGATGATTTATCAACTTCTGACAAGTTTAAAATGAATGGGTGTAGCCGTTTGCCTGTTAGATTTACATTTTAGCGTGTAAATCAACACTTATAGAAATGACAGAAACTTTACTCAATTTTTAACACGTACCCGTTGATGCACTTACTAAGTGACGTAGACATAATTGACCGCCACAAGCAATGGGGTACCCTATGCTACCGGTATTAGAATCTGACAGTGTTCACATACCCACATATTATCAGGTCTGATATCATTTCGTAACAGTCACGGCGCCGATTTCTGAAACAAATACTCTTTCTAGCAGTTGTTTACTCCGGCCACGGTGTACAATCTACACTGCCACCTATAGCCAGGGAGAGATAACTCTCATAAATGCATTCCGATTTTGCAGGTCGTTCAGAAAATATGGAAACCATTTACATCCCCAAATTTTGGTATGCACAAAGGAATTAAGAAAGGTATCAACCTTTCCAAATTCTGTTTTAATTTATATGAATTCACGACTTGATTTTTGTACGAGAGGAGCGTGGTTTCAGATGATCGACTGAAAACAGATCATCTTCTTCTTGAATCAGTCTACTGTAGTCTCCAAAAAACAAATATTTTACAGAAAAACGTTCCTAAATCATAATCATAAAATATTATGAAAAGGATCCAAGAGAATTTCTTCATGTTTAGACTAAAAAACCGCGAAGCGATAAATCTCGAAAGCTTGTAAATCTAGACTTGCATGGGCTTTCTTTAATATATTTGTTTTCAGGGTCTAACAGACTCCAACACAACTGAAAAGCCGTGTTCAGTCACCGTCTGTATATTTCCTCTTGTCCGACACTTTATATAGCCCTGCACTGACAACCACAGTTTATGCAAGTGTAATAATGTCAGTGAGTTAGTTTAGTTTTACGCCGCTTTTAGCAATATTCCAGTAATATAACGGCAGTGTCTTATTATTAGGACATGTGGGCTGTTCTTGGGTGAGAGAAAGAGATCTAAACAAGGATCCATGAAACAAACTGTTAAATATAAAGGTGTATCACATTACAGGTACATGTCTAGACGCAGTAATTAGTCCCACTGCCAGGTAATAAAACTGTACTAGTGTTGTTCATGTATAATAAAACAGGCGATAAAATAGTGCGACACATGGCGAACAACATCTGGTGTGAAGTCCAGGCCGGTTACATGATGTTACATCGTGTTACACACACCTCGTCTAAGGAGTGTACTCTGTACCTTCTGTTCAGTGTAGACATTGTACTTAGGCGATATGTTATTGTTTTGAACATCTGACTACTGAAATCTCAGTTATGGGAAGTGATGTTTTTATTAAAACTTGAATTTGCAGACCAACTGGACTGACTGACTGAGTTTGGTTTTACGCCGCTTTTAGCAATATTCCAGCAACATCACGGCGGGGGACACCAGAAATGGGCTTCACACATTGTACCCATGTGGGGATTCGAACCCGGGTCTTCGGCGTGACGAGCCAACGCTTTAACCACTAGGCTACCCCACCGCCCCAGACCAACTGGACTTTACAGATGAACAAAGGGTTGTTTAATCAAACTTGCCGGCGATGACTGTTCTAAGAAGACTAAACGATGAGTAAAACATACAGGTAGTTTAAATTTTGAGTTTTTACTGCATAGCTTTCTTAAAAATCATTTAATAAACCTGAATTAGCCGTTAATTAGTTGTGTCATATCGACCGTAGGTTGACAGAATAACTCTTCAAATGTGCATGAATGCGATTGACCAGATTCGTGTCTAGCCACATCACGAAGGGCGTCCTATGGCAAGTATTATAATGGTGTGGTATAGTGTTAGTTTGTGGTAATTGTGTTAAAGATGTGAAATGTACATTTTTCCATCACATAAGTTATATTACCCCAACCCCACTCAATACTGATAATTAGAACAACATTGCTGTTTTGAAAACAACAATGTTAACAGGTTCTCTGTGTTGTTTCCCCATACTATTATATGGAACTTAAAACAGAAACACATTACACAAAAAGAACAGCAATTTTTCAAACGAATATACATAATCCGGATAGTGTCGTGTCTGTTGTGACAAATAAACTTTAGTCATATGAGTGAGTATGGTTTTACGCCGCTTATTGCAATATTCCAGCAATATCACGGCAGGGGACACCAGAAATGGGCTTCACACATTGTACCCATTATGTTTAGTCTATGAAAAAGCTAATGTGTTCTGTAATGTCCTTTCATGAATATATACACAGACTCTGTCACAGGCACAACAAACTATACAGTAAGTAAATAGGAAAATATTTATTATGCTTTTGCCCACGATGATGACATCAGTGTCAATGTGACATGACATATTGTATGATCGCCCTGAGATAACGTCAGCAATACAAACTCATACAGCGAGCACACTTTGCATACAGAATAAGTACACATCCGCCAAGTCAATAAATTAATAAATTAAAAACAATACATAAATAAATTAATATCATATACTCTCAAATGATGCCTGGTTTGAGGCAGAGTATTATGTACAATTACACCAACCCATGCATTGTGTCGTTCGGGTTTGAACGAAATGACTCCAGAATGTACGTATACAATAGTATGGAGTGTTGTCGTTTTTCTCCAAGGAACCAAGGCATGTCGCGGACAGATGAACCATTGACCAAATGCACTTCGAATCCTGGACGGTTTATACAAGCTCAGAAACCGTTCTTAAAGTTAATCAGTAATCCTTCTTGGCACACCTGGTACTGTTTGGTTGTCTTTCGTTTTTCATGTGTTAATCCGTCCTATTCTCACAGGGAAACATTATAAACAGCTGATCTTTGTCAGCCACTAGCTCATCCTCGGGACACCCCACAGCCCCGAGTTAACCTGGCCCATTGTTGTCGTGTTGTGTGTAACTAGCCTGAGGCAGTGTCTGGTCATCCTCGGCGCACAGAAAGGGATCACTTCCTGACCACAAAGACACCGCCAAGCACTGCCGTAGGCAAGGATTCACTATCTGTTTGATCGAAATACGTCATGAGTATTGTATAACCAGGAAGCTGGATGAACTGGGAAGGGATAGAGGGCTCCGTGTGTCCGTGTGTGTGCCAGAGAACGCACCTGCCAATCGTGACGTCATGATGGCTGTTCGACTTGTGTCACCTGAACTATGGTTGCCTCTGGGGTATTGTTATCGGTCTCCATCTCTTCATCCTCACTGTCGGTAATGTTGTTGTCAACGAAGTCGGCAACGTCGTCCTCCTGCTCTTCCCATTCCGTTCCCAGCTGCTTCCGCAACGCCATCACCTCGTCAGCCTTTGCAGCGGCGTAAATGTGGTACATGTCGCGCATGTTCTCCGCTGACATCAGACGCATGCGCAGAATGTATCGGTAAGACCGTCTGTGGTCTGCACGTGCTTTGAAGTAGCGGACCTCCAACGAACGTATTTTCCTGTTGATCATAGCAACTTGTTCGCATGCGCGACGAAACCGAATTTCCGCACACATGACCCTGACTGTCAGTTCTTCCAGCGTGAGAGGCAAGTGCCCGGATGATGGCAAAGAGTCGAGGACTGGCGTGGTGTCCATGTTGCTTCTCTTCTACAATCTGAGTACCTTGAACCTCTCGAAGCATCGGTCACTTGGTAAATGCACGTCAGGTGGCCGCGTGTTCTTTCGCCGAGAATGACCTCTGACCCAATGACATCTGGTTCGACTGGCCAGGATGTTACCCCTTTCACTCTTATTACGTCACGCCCCCTGCTGTCAAAACATGTTGCCAGGGTAATAACTCTGGCTCAACTCGTTCAATCAACCGGAATCTCATTATGCTAATTTGCATAGATTCTAATGAGCCGTTAATGAGGCGACGTGTGCACGGGTGACGTACCTTCCCGTCATGCTTCAGTGAGTGATGACATCCCAGCCAATCAGCGACCATCAGGCTTGACATCAATGGCCGTGGACATTGACAGGCTTGGTCGTTGATAGGTTGTGATGTCGCCGCTCTGATAGGAGCACCTGCATATTTGTCTGTGTGCAATTGTCAATTCTTTGTTAGTTTATTTAGTGATGGTGCCTAACATGGTTTTGACACTGAAGTTTATAAACAACAATCCACTAAAACAACAATGTGTTTAATGCAGAACCTCTGACGATACACTGGTCCACGTTGCAATCAGTGTCATAGGTGAAGATGTGAATTTTTCTTTGAATGCGAAAGTATTCTATACTTGCAAAGCAAAAGATATGGAATGAGATTTTGTACACAACATATTCTTAAAACGAAAGTATACATTCTTGATTGGGATTTGATGGAACAAGCAGAATATTTATGAAACTGTACAAGGTAGAAAACAGGTGGAAATACTGAAAGTTTTACACCCGAACCACAGCCACGAACTCCGAATCCAACAACACCATCGAATAACCGTTTCTTGTATACATGTATTTCATTTTCAGCAAAACGTAACAAGGATGTGTAGTTAAACTTGGCCGACCTTTTTTTAATGAGAAAACAAATAATTGATAATCTCTTCCCCCTAAACACGTCTTAATATGCTTAATTCCATACACTCCCCGTAATCGGAGTACTTGATTAAATACACTTCATGCTGATTATATAAGTACTGTATGTGGTGTAACATATGATATACATGTATGTAAATAGTTAATCGTATCCACACTATTCATATTCGTATCATATTAAAAGATGCCTCCTTTAAGACGCGCGCCAGAAATGAAAATGACAGTAAGACATATGAGCATATAAAATACGACGATCATATTTTTAAAGCTTAATTCGTAAAAATATACAGCTGCATGTGAGGACCATTACTTGATAATAATTTGCGTTTAACACAAACATTGATCGCATAGATGGCACTGTACGCAAATATGCACAAAACGTCACCGTAAACAATAACCAGTCACAAATAGCCAACGAAACAGATTTCATTGTAAATATGCAAAATATATTAAACCTATATGTACAAGTGATTGCATCAAAATGCTGAAGTTATAGATAGTTTATCTGTTACTTGCTGTCCCGAGCAATAATCTAAAATCATTTGGCTGAAGAACCTTTTCATATGCAGCAGCTTCTCATTGGAACTCTCTCCCAATCGAGTTAAAATAATCTCCTTCCCTAAGTACATTCAAAACACGACTCAAGACTCATCTATTCCTCCGCTACAAGTGACTTCCAACCATCTGTACCTGTCAGCTGCATATAGTTTTAACTTGAGCTCAGGAAGCGCTTTGAGCATATCCCTGTGACGTTGAAAGGCGCTATATAAATGGCTTATTATTATTATTATATAAGAAAAAATACTTTGGTATAGATTTATTGATAC